TCTATAAATAGTTATTGAGTGCCCACTACATTTCACACACGGTTCTAGGTACATGAGATACATTACTGAACAAAACAATAATTCAGCCCGATGCAGTCTCTACCATAGAGCAATGAACCACATAAATGATAAAGACAAAAACAAAAATAAAAGTAAAGATTACCCATAACTTTTAAAATATTAGCCTAGGAAATTATCGAAGTGGTGCTGATAGCAAAAATTCCAGGGGATGACTGTAACCCAACCAGAAACAGTTTGACTGCATTCCCTGTTTGCTGTTTGGTTGCTCATCTACGATTTCATTTTACTGAGCTCTGACTTTCTCCTTGGATCTGAATTACAATGAGGGTATTAAATCAACTCTGTGGTTACCTTTGCATATTTTGGGACTTCAGACATTTAGATTATGATTCACTGTGTGCATAATTTTTTATCTTGTCTCAAAGCAACAGTGTTCGTTTTTCACTAGGTTTTCTCTAATGAACTAACTTCATAGCATACTTTTTGTGCTATACTCTAACAGATGGATAGCTGATTTATAAGAAATAATATATACTTTTTCACTGTAAAATGGTATCTATAGAATACCTCGCTCATATGGTTGTTATAAAGATTAAACAACATAATGCTTATTAAAAAAAAAAGAAAGAAAGAAACAAAGAAAGAAAGAAAGAAACAAAGAAACAAAGAAAGAAAGAAAAGAAAATGCCAGGCACATAGTAAGTTTTAAGTGCTGTATTTTTCGTAGCTCTGCTAGTCTTTTATCTATTTATAGTATTTCAAATATTTAGCACAGTAAATGAAGTATTACATCTTTTTTCTTTCCTTTCTTCTCTAGGGAAGAAGCAGGATTGCAATGAAATAAAAGCAAATATCTATCCAGCAGGCCCATATAAGTGGAGTCTCTTTATACACCACTAGTCTCAGGAGGGAATCCTTCCAAAAGAGGAAAACTAAGAGATGTATTTACACATAACTATTTTTTAAATGTTTGACTGATTTTAAAAGACCTAAACATTCTTATAAAATCCCAACATTACAAATATTAATTATTTAGAAAGTGAAGAGCTCCTTTATTACACACCCACCCCATCTGTCTTCCCCTAGAGATGACTAATGGTAATTGGTGTATATTCTGTTTTTCCTAGTCATACACTAATATGTCTTTTTATTAAAATAAGATTGTATTGTATATACAGTTTTACAATGGACTTTGTTCACTGAAAATATGTCATCAACATCTGTGTTAACACGTATAGTTCTTTCTCATTTCCAAAGCTGCCAGGAGCTTGGAAACTCAAGGATGAATTTGTGGCCGTCTGCTCACCTACTCACTAAGTCACACAGCATTTAATAGATCCAATTGGAGAAAGTCCTTTGGCTAACCCTGACACTGCCAACCACTGAGCCTCTCTGTCTAAGCAGGAATTCAAAAATGTGCACCAGTGGAGTGACTCAGATTTTCTCGGTTCACACCATGGAAACAGACTTTTCTCAATGCAGAGAGAATGAGCTGAATGAGGGATACATATTCATACAATGATTAATCCTGAGCATCACAGAAACATCACAAATACAATACCTTTTAAGTAGAATTCTGGAGTGTGGAAGCCCAGTCCTGCACAGCCCACTTAGAACAGGAAGGAAATTTTATTTGAGGATGTTAAGCCCAAGTTAACTTTTATTAATTTGCCACAGGAGCTCATTCATCCTCAAGTCGCTTCTCACTTCCCTTAACTCAGATATTTACTCTTGGAGTGATTAAGTCCTCTTACCTTTCCTATGCTTTCATTAGCTGTTCATTTTCTTTCTTCCTTCCTTCCTTTTTTTTTTTTTTTTTTTTTTTTTTTTTAAAAAAGGAAAAATTTTTTCACAAAAAG